ATATTTAATGGTGAGAATAAGGGCTGATGAGATACAAGAGTCAACTACTGCTCGACTAAACAGAATAGAAAGAATGATCCACGATATGTTTGAAGCATTAAGGCAACAACAGCAGCAACCACCCCCACCTCTGCCAATGCCAGCACTGCCTGTGCAAGATCAACAGGCTAATGACCGTACAATTGCCCTCACTAAAGAATATAAGAAGATGAAACCACTGTAGTTCCATGGGGGAGTAGACCCATTAAAAATTGAAGCTTGGGTCCTTGGAACCGAGAAATTAGTTTTGAGGTATTTTCGTGTACCGAGGCACAAAAGGTTCAGTTGGCTGCATTCACTCTTGAGGATGAAACAAGAAGATGATGGATGCTAATCCAAGAAGACAATAAGGGGATTGATTGGGCACGATTTCATGAAATTTTTTATGAGAAATATTTTTCGCAGTGCATCCGTGATAAAAAGGTGTCCGAGTTTGAGGGACTTGAGCAAGGTAACATGACATAGCCGAGTATGGAGCAAATTTCACGGAGTTGGCCAGGTTCATACTGCATATGGTCGACACCAATTACAAAAATGCAAGAAATTCGGAAGTGGACTTCGAAATGCAATTCAAGAGAAGGTCAATGTTTTGAAACTACCAAAGTACATAGATGTTCTTAACCAAGCTTTAATGTCTGAAATGAATTTGGCTTCCCATAACCGACCATTTGAATGGAAGGGAAAACGACATGGTTCTTATTCAAATAAGAGATCATCATCTTCAAAGAAGCAGAATGTGGGAATGTCTAGTACTTTTAATTCCTCAAGAGACTTCGTACTAACATACAATGAATGTGGTAAGAAACATCGGGGAGCCTGTTACCGTACTTCTGAGGCGCGCTTTAGACGCGGCAAGACCGGGCATATGGCCAAAGATTGTCCCCAACCAGAACAGAGAAGCAGAAGACCAACTGCTAGTTCAACTGGGTCCATCCTAATGCCAAGAAATGCCACAAGGCCTACTATTACAAGATACACACTAAGGCAATGGAGAGTTTTTGCACTCGTCCCAAGTGATACACGAAATACCGAAGCCGTTGTCTTAGGTACCCTCTCTATTTGCAACCAAGATACTTATATGCTAATTGATTCGGGTTCAACACATTCCTTTGTATCTACTGTATTTGTATCTAGACTGAATAGACCCATGGAATCATTGTCATATCTATTATGTATATCTGCTCCATTTGGGGAATCTGTTATGTGTTCATTTGTATATCGTGCTTGTGAAATACGTGTTGGAGATGCTACATTATGTGTAGATTTGTTACCTCTTGACATTAGACATTTTGATGTGATTTTGGTGATGGACTAGTTGTCTAAATATGGTGCTTTGATTCATTGTGTAACGAAATGAGTTTTTTTTAGATCTCTAGGACATGATGAATTTGTATTTGTGGGTAATGGTGTAGTACCTCTGCCTAACTTAATTTTTGCAATGAAAGCATGCAAATTACTCAAAAAGGGATGTCGAGGTTATCTGTGTAGTATTTTGACTGATCAGTCCATGAATATTGTGTTAGATGATATTCCTATTATTATAGAATTTCCAGATGTGTTTCTAGAGGAATTGCTAGGGAATTAGTTGAAAGGGAAATTAAGTTTACTATTGAAGTCATGTCAGGTACTCAACCCATCTCAAAGACTCAATATAGAATGTCAACTGTTAAGATGAAAAAACTTAAAGAACAGTTGTGGGGTTTGCCTAACAAGAGTTTTATCCGACCAAGTACTTCACCCTGGGGTGCGCTAGTATTATTTGTGACGAAGAAAGATGGAACCTTACGCTTGTGTGTCAATTACCGGGAGTTAAATAAGGTAGCAATCAAGAATAAGTACCCTTTACCATACATTGACGACTTTTTTGATCAGTTGCAGGGTTCACAAGTGTTTTCAAAGATCAATTTGAGATGCGGGTACCATCAACTGAAAGTGAAAGCTAAAGATGTTGAGAAAACTGCATTTCGGACAAGTATCGACATTACGAATTTCTGTTTATGCCATTTGGGGTAACAAATGCACTTGTAACATTTATGGACCTTATGAACCAAATTTTTAAATCCTACATTGACAAACTTGTAGTTGTTTTTATTGATGATATCTTAATTTATTCGAGAATTAGAGAAGAACACGAACAACATTTGAGAACCATTTTGCAAACACTTAGAGACAAGAATTAATATGCAAAACTGAAGAAATGTAAATTTTGGTTGGATGAAGTTAAGTTTCTAGGGCATGTGATCAACAGGGACGAAATTTTAGTGGACTCGCAAAAGATTGAGGCAATTATGAATTGGCCTACACCGACAAATGTGACGAAAGTTCGAAGCTTCAAGGGATTAGCTGGGTATTACAGGAGATTTGTGAAAGACTTTTCAAAGATAGTCGTGCCACTTACCCAATTCACTCAAAATGGACAACCATTTGAATAGACTGATGAAAACGAATCCACATTTCAAGAACTGAAAACAAGACTAACCACAACACTGATTTTGACATTGCCCTCACGTACAAAAATTTTTGTTATTTATAGTGATGCTTCTTATAAGGGTTTGGATTGTGTTTTGATACAGACTGGTAAAGTGATTGCCTATGCATCTCGACAACTGAAACTTTATGAAAAGAATTATTGCGACTTATGACTTAGAATTAGCCGTAGTTGTGTTTACTTTGAAGAATTGGCACCACTATTTGTACGGAGCAAAATGTGAAGTTTATACCAACCATAAGAGTTTGAAGTACTTTTTCACTCAAAAAGGATTGAATATACAACAGAGAAGATGGCTCGAGTTTATTAAAGACTATGATATCCAGATTCAATATCATCTGAGTAAAGCCAACATCGTAGCTGATGCTTTAAGTAAAAAGTCAGCGGAGAACTTTGCATGTTTGCTGACTGAACAAAAAGAGATATTGATAGACTTACTTGATTAGGGCAGGTTAATATCAGGTATTTCAGCTCAACTGACAACCATTGACGAGATAAAACAAAGGCAAAGGGAGGATGAGTTCCTTATGAGAGTATTTGATGAGCTTGAATCGAATCCTAAACTGGGGTTCAGTATTGAAAATGAAATGTTGAGATTCAAGGAAGATTGTGTGTCCCGAACATTACTAATTTGAATAACAGAATTTTGGAAGAAGCTCACAAGTCCAAATTTGCAATACATTTGGCCAACAATAAAATGTATTGGGATTTGAAGCAAAGTTATTGGTGGCCTAGCATAAAGAAGAAAATTGCAGAATATGTGTCTAAGTGCCTTTAATGTCAACAGTCAAAGTCAAACATCAAAAGCCGGTGAGATTACTCCAACCTCTCCCTATTCCAGAATAGAAATGGGAACAAATAACCATGGACTTCATTGTTGGTCTACCTTGAATTCCTCGAGGTATGAACTCTATCTGGGTTATTGTGGGTACGTTGACTAAATCTACACATTTTCTATCTATAAGGACTAGCTATGATGTTTATAGATTGGTTATAATTTACATTGATGAAATTGTTCATTTATATGGAGTACCGGTATCCATTGTTTCGGATAGAGATCCAAAATTTGTGTCTAGATTCTAGAAAAGTCATCAAAGAGTAATGGGAATGGAATTGAGGTTTAGTACCACATTCTATCCTCAAACTGATGGGCAATCAGAAAGAACTATTCAGACTTTAGAGGATATGCTCCGAATGTGTGCTCTAGACTTTCAGGGGAGTTAGGAAACTTATTTGCCAGTAGCGGAATTTGCATACAACAATGGTTTCCATTCTAGCATTGGCATAGCACCATATGAAGCCTTGTACGAAAGGAAATGCATACCTCCCATATGTTAGACTGAAGTTGGGCATAGGGTCTCGCTTGGACCTGAAATTATACAACCAACCACTGAAAAGATTAAAGTCATTCAACAAAGGCTCAAAACAGCCCAAAGCAGACAAAAGAGTTATGCGGATCATAAAAGAAGGGCTCTTGAATATGAAGCTGGTGATCATGTGTTCATAAGGGTAATTCCAATGACAGATCAATCGAGGTTTGGCGAGAAAAGAAAATTATCACGTCGATACATTGGGTCGTTTTAGATTCTAGAAAGGCCAGGTCTAGTTGCATACTGAGTTGCTCTACCACCAGGGATGAAACAAATGCATAATTTGTTTAATGTGCCAATGTTAAGGGGCTATCTTTGGGATCCATTCCATGTTATTCATTATCACCGAATAGCTCTCGATGAGAATATGGAATATGAAGAGAAACCAATTTAGATTATTAACTGACAAGTAAAACTGTAACACCTCATAAAAAAATTGCCATAATCAAATATGTTCACTTAGGTTTATCTAATAAATAAAAGAGAGAGAGAGAGAGAGAGAGAGAGAGAGAGAGAGAGAGGTTTAATCCCTAATAATATTAATAGAATTCTAGGATTCACTACAACAAAACTGAATTTTTACGGCTCCACATTAACGACATACAGTAAATGCAAGTTGTGGTTTCTCACTTTTACAACTTGCTTTTTTTGCATGTCGTAAATAATTTCTCAACCATGGCGTGTCTATTGCGTAGGCCGTGAATGTTACTGATGATAATTTTTTTATAACTTGCAATGTTAGCTGTAAATAATAAAACTTTCTACGATGTGCATATAGCATACCATTAATACATCAACTATACACGACACACGTACACCAGTCGTTAAAAATATTGAACATTTCACAGCTCTAAAAAAGCTAGCCATTAAAAATATTACACTTTTTATGGCATACAAAAAAGTCAACCGTTAAAAAGTACACTTTCCATTACGCCCATATGCTAGCTGTTAAAAATATTTACTTTTCATGACATGCAATTTCTGTCGTGAATAGTATGACCAAAATAAAAATAGGTGCCAAAATAAAAATTTGAGTGCCAAATACAAAAAAAAAATTAAAAAAAAAATCAAAATACATGACCTCTTTGGCTTCTAATCAAAAGGAACGTAGAAGAAGGCTAGTTACTCTCTCCCTTCTCTCTTTCTTTCTTTCTTTCTCTCTACTTCTTCTTGAATGTCTGACTATTCAATTATAAAATTCTAGGGTTTTACTCTTGTTTTGTGCACTTGATTTGGCTAATGTTTAGTTTCCTTTTATCTTCATCCATTTAGCGCTTCATTCTTCATCGAGAAGTGTTCTAAATTTCTCATAAAGGGGTTTTTGGTCTAGATTTTCACTCGAGATTTAGAAAAGGCACAGAGAAGGGTTCGATGGGAGCAAATCTGTAGGAGCTCAGCCTCAATCTCTTTGAATCGTCTTATCGCATTATACCCAGGGAGAGAGAGTGAGAGTCAAAGGGATGAGCAAAGCAGAGATACACTAAGTGAAGAAGGGTTTTTACCTGGTACACTGCTTCATTTGATCGAAAGCATCACTAGTAAGATGTTTTCTAAACCCATATATATAGTGAGAATTGTATCTAAAACCCCCAAATGTTTCGCCTCTTGATTCCATTGATTAATGTGTGAAAATTAAAAAAAAATGTTTGCTTCTTCAATTCTATACAATAATTATTCTTTGTACTATGCATTTTAGGTGTTTGATTCTTTGTCTTTTGATTTTTTTTTAATAGAGAATCTATCTTGAATGTTGTTAATTGTGTGTGTGTGTATGTGTGTTAGCAAAACCATAATCACATGCTCTGAATTTAATGTGCTTTGTGTCGTGAAAGGAGCAAATGAAAAAGATTTTACACTAGTGTTAGCTATCCAGGGCAAAGTTATTTCTTATAATGTCAAGTCCAAAACATTGAAGGAGCTTCATCATTCATCCACAAATGATCTTAATGATTGGGGAACAAGTTGGTGTAATAACACTTATCAATTCATTGAAAGCCTATCACATGTTTGATCATTGTCCTACATGTTTCTACTTCTTTCTTCAGCAAATGGCATGTCCCTCAATAAACTTTTCTATATTTCTATCTGTTAGTATTTGTTATTGTTAGTTTCTTGGTCTATGATGCTATGTGTAGACACCCCATTTTTGACCGTCCTCGAGACTTGGACGTCATCGTTTGAACACTCGATGATTACCCATGTTTGTGTTCGTCTTGAGTTCTCGGAGGTTTCGGCTATGCGCCTTGCCTCATGACCTCTCGACTTGTTTGTTTTGTGTTTGGTTTTGCATCAAACACTTGTTGTTTTGCTTCTGAGAGTGGAAAATAGCTTGTAGGACATCCCCACACCTCACCGGCCATGGCTTGAGGCCACCGGCCTTGCTTCCTTGCCACCGGCCATTGGTGATGGCCGGTCGGCACTATTGATAGTCGGTCGGCATTGTGTTTGGTCGACCGGCCACTGATTTTGGTCAATCGGCCACTTTTTTTGGCCGAGACCTTTTCTTGAGGGGGGTTTGAACCTTTTGAACCCTTGTTTTAGCTTCTTGAGAAAGTTTGAACTTTTTGAACCCTTGGTTTTAGCTTCTTGAGGAAGCTTGAACTTTCTGAACCCTTGGGTTTAGCTTCTTGAGGAAGCTTGAACCTTTCGAACCCTTGGTTTTAGCTTCTTGAGGAAACTTGAACCTTTTGAACCTTTGTTCTAGCTTCTCCAAGAAGTTTGAACCCTTTGCTCCAAGTTTCTAAGAGAAGCTTGAACCTTTCTTAGCTTCTTGAGGAAGCTTGAACCCTTGTCTAGCTTCTCCAAGAAGCTTAACCCTTTTGCTTTAGCTTCTCCAAGAAGCTTGAACCCTTGTCTAGCTTCTCCAAGAAGCTTGACCCTTTTGTTCTAAGCTTCTTGAAGAAGCTTGGACCCATTGCTCAAGCTTCTTGAGGAAGCTTGGACCTTTGACTTAGCTTCCCTTAGAAGCTTGCCCCCTTTGACCCTTTTTGCCGTAGATTCTCCAAGAAGCTTAGGCCTTTTGCCTTGCTCTATAAATAGAGAGCCTCTCCTTCTATTTCGTTTAGCTTCTTGAGGAAGCTTAACCTTTCGAACCCTTGGTTTTAGCTTCTTGAGGAAACTTGAACCTTTTGAACCCTTGTTCTAGCTTCTCCAAGAAGTTTGAACCCTTTGCTCCAAGCTTCTAAGAGAAGCTTGAACCTTTCTTAGCTTCTTGAGGAAGCTTGAACCCTTGTCTAGCTTCTCCAAGAAGCTTAACCCTTTTGCTTTAGCTTCTTCAAGAAGCTTGAACCCTTGTCTAGCTTCTCCAAGAAGCTTGACCCTTTTGTTCTAAGCTTCTTGAAGAAGCTTGGACCCATTGCTCAAGCTTCTTGAGGAAGCTTGGACCTTTGACTTAGCTTCCCTTAGAAGCTTGCCCCCTTTGACCCTTTTTGCCGTAGATTCTCCAAGAAGCTTAGGCCTTTTGCCTTGCTCTATAAATAGAGAGCCTCTCCTTCTATTTCAAGGGTTGAAAAATCTGATATATAGAATATATATCACTCCCTCTCTATATCTCTATCTCTCTCTGTACATTTGTGTGGGTTAGAGTGTTCCAAAGTGAGTTTTTGTTCTTGTTTTTGCACTAGAACACCTAGGAGTACACTACTCTTTGGTTATTGAGGTGCTAAGCCATTGTTTGAGGGGTTTTTGAGCTGGTTTTGATCCAAAGAGGCTGCTGGTTTGGTGTTCTTGGAAGTGGGCTTCAAGGGTAATCTCTTTTCCCTCTTTATTCCCCGTTTTTGCACACACTTTTAGCCTATCTTGCAAGCATATTTGGCCTTTGTCATAAACTGAAAAAAAGTCTTATTTTGAGCTCCTTTTGAAGTTTGTTTAAGATCACTTTTGTGTTTGGGGTCGTTTACCTCCTCTTAGGCCTTGTTTGACCCAATTTTGTGCTATTTTTGGTGAGCTCCGGGACCACCTTGTTTGGGCCTCCTCACCACTAAAATCTTGAGGGATTTTAGTGGTGAGGATGGTGGTTTAAGGTTCTAAGAAGGAGAGGGCCATCCCCTCTCCTTGTTGCCTTTAAAAGTTGCCATTTTAGCCTCATGTGTGAGCATATTATTTAAGACCATGTTGGCCATGTCTTAGTAGGTATTTGGTAGTATTTTTCCATGATATAGCACTATTTTTACTTGGTTTAGACACACCATGCATGCCTTGCATACTTGTCTTGTAATGCCATGAATTTGCCTTAACATGCTTTAGGCTTTGACCCTTGTTCTAGCATGATTTTGGCCAAGCTTTGTGAAGCTTTTATGTATGTTTTAGTATGCTTTAGCTCTCTTTTCAGTTGCTTTGGTCATGCTTAACATGTTTCGTATGGTCTCTTTGCATTCTAGCTTGTTAGCTTTGGGTGTGTGGGCATGTTTAAATGGTGTTGCATTTGGCATGCATTTCTTGCTAAGTTTCCTAACATGTTACATGCCTTGCATATGTGTGCATGGTTATGATTACACTTTGCATGTTTGCTAACTTGCATACTTAGCCTCCATGCCTAGGTTGCATTGCATAGGGCATGCATGCTTTGCCTCTTGAATTGAGTATGATAGAGGTTGGGCTTTATGTGTTTATTTGGTTTACATGTCATTTGAAATCAAAATGCATAACTTGGCCTCTTGAGCCATCATGCATGGAAATGCGCGATTGGTGGTCTGAGGGTCGAGCACCATACTCCCTTGAGTCTTAAACATGATATGGAGTGTGATTGTGCAAACATTTGCTTTGAAATGCATTGCCACACCTTGTCTGTCATCTGCTGCTATCAAAATAAGTTTCTGCAGGAAGACATGGCCGGTCGGCCATATACAGTGCCGATCGACCAAACATTTGTGGCCGATATCAACATCCATGGTCGATGGATGGCCGGTGGCCTTTACGCTTGGCCGGTGACCTTCCACAGTGCTCAGAAGGTGGTTCAGAAGCATCCTGGAGACTTATGCATTTTTCAGAGGTGCAAAACAATGTAAACAGAGGCAACAGTGGCATGGCATTGGGTTTCCGAGCAAAGCCAATCTGAGCATGCATTTATCCCTCTTCCCGGGGCTGTTTTACTGCTTTATTAGCTTAATTAAGTTGATTAATTGGTTAAGGGTTTGTAATATTTAATTAGTTAGAGTAGTTAATTATTTATTCGGTATGTATTATTTATTCGGACCCTCTGAGTGAGGGCACAACTGTAATAAGCGTGCGTGTGTATGATGCATGTCTTCCAATCCCCACTTCTTTCTCCCTTTTACTTACCTGCTTTTGATGGTTAGTACTAGGGCATATTTCAATTAGCATCTTTATGCTCGCATGTTTGCATCATTCATCTGTATTGCATGCACCGGGCTCGGCGCATCATACTAACTGCATTGTATTTCAATTCCAAGTTGAATACATGTATTGAACTGTCGCATCTCATATGTCATTCTTAGGGTAGCCGAGCCTATTCTAGTTGCATCTTTGCATGTGTTGCATTAGCCATCTTAACATGAACTAGGATCATGCATTTGATTACTAACTAGTTTCTGTTTTGGCTCGGAGTACTCGGTAAGTGCTTATGCTTTAGCATCCTTGCATGCGTGTGAGTGCTGCCATGATAGCATGCTTACCATGAGGCTATATGCTTATGTGTTATAACTGCCTGAATGCTTGTGGGTGAAGGTTGGGTTGCTTGAATTGGAATAATTCGTCGAAACCCGTGTTTTAGCCTACTTGCGAGTAGCAAATTTCAATCCATTTTCAAAACAAACGGATATGCGATGTTTTGTTCCAATTTAGGGAATTCAGTCTATACTTGTATGCTGTGCGCATCACATAGTAATTCTAGGATAATAAATCGGAATAAGAGCACATAGTGTTTTCAAAAATCGATATCATAGTTAGTAGAGGCCTATCTTTGATCAGGCGAGCGGGGGTGTTCATAGCTGACCTTTCCCAATCGTACCCAGGTTCCCGAGCCGAGGCAACTTTGGTGATGACGGACACGTGGCCTTAGGCAAACGAGTTAGGGTTTCCTAAATTCCCCCATAAAAAATATTTAGGTGGCGACTCTGTATCTGGCAAAGCAGTCCATGTTTGGCACTTCTTTACAAAAAATATGTTTTCAAAACGATTTGTCGGATTTGGACTCTTTGGTTCAGATTTAGAACCATGACAATTTGAGTCCTGAACTGTAGTGAGCCCAAATGAACAGAATGGGATTCATCCTCCCGGGATGTTCGGGGATGTCTACACTATGCTACTATCATCTTTGATGTTTAGATTATGTTTTAAGCTTTCATTACAAATAGATTCCCCATTCATCAATTAAGGCTGAAATACAACTGATGTACATAGCATAGCTCCTGCAGTAATAGAGCATCACTGTGATTTTCAATTTTGTTGCTTTATATGTGAGCCCTGTTTTGACCACAGTAATTCATTCACTCCAACTTTTGCATCACTGTGATTATCAACTTTGTTTTGATAAAAGATCATCCACCCCAACTTTTGTAGATGTATTTTGGTGGATGAGAATGATCGTGTTGTTGGTCATGACGCCAAATAAAACTGTAAATATATTTCCTTTTGGTATCTTACTTGGGAGAATGTTTTGTACTTTGTAGTGTTTTGTAATATACATATTCACTGTGATTTTTGAGTCCGTTGTCATCTTATACTACAATATAGCTTACTATTTTATCTCTCTTGAAGAACATCATGTTTAGGGTTTGTTTGGGATGTGGTTTTTTGGATAATATATAAGGTTAAAAACAATTTAAAAAAAAAAGAAACTGAAGTGTTTGAGAATGGCGTCGTACCCTTAATTGGATATGGTGTCTCGTTTGTTATTTGACACGTTACTTTTATTCAAGAAGGTGCTGTCTTTAAATATTCTCCTCACGGTAATTCAAGAAGGTTCTTGTTACTTTGAGCTTAACAATTGTAATAGGAAAGAAATTATTAATTCCTTTTGGCACTCTTTAAATTTTATCTGTCTTACTAGAAGCAGAGGAAGAGAGGGTGCCGATCGACTCTTAGAGCTAGGTGCTATTTTTTATCAGCATGGAATCACTAAATTTTTATGTATGTAGATTACAGTAGCATGATTTTTTGATCCTCATTTTTCATTGTTGAATCGTTTTATAAAACATAGGCCACTAGAGAATTACCGTGTACTTCATGGTAATAAGAAATGACTATCATATAAATGCCAAGGCTTTTAGAACTATAGAATATATATTACTTTGTTTTTACATTGTACCAAAATGGGTATTTGTTTACTCTTTTGTGACAAAGAATTTGAAATTGTGGGTTTCTACAAGAAAACAAAAGAAAAGAAAAAGAATTTAGGGTAATGTTTGGTTTTGAGGAACAAAAAAACAAGAACCAAAAAACGAAAATAAGGAACAATATATTAAAAAAAATGAAAAGTTGAATCATTGAAAGAAGTCAAATAATTTTAATTATTAGTTCATTTAATTTCTATTGCTACTTAACTTTTAGTAGAATCAATGCAAGATTATATTATGAAAAAGTTTAAAATGAAAACAAAAATACTTTCTCATTTGGTCTTACAGTGTTGCTTGTTCTATGTTAGCCTTCTAGTGTTGTAGGATGTAACTCACCACTAGCCATAAGCTAAGTTGTTGCCACCAACCACTTCTCAAGTTAACCTCTACCTTATGCTGTATTTGTTACTTTAGTTCATTGGAGTTAATTTTCTATTTTCATTGTTTCTTATTACCTACATTCCTCTGTTTTTTTAGCAATCCAGTTTTTGTCATCAACCCCATATGATGGCTGTTATAGCAATTACCAACTATCATGGAGGCAGGTAAAATACTTTTATTTGATTTCGAATATCTGCTCTATTATAGCTGCTAGTTAGTATTTTTGGACTAAAAGATGTTAGTTTTTAAATTAAAAGATTTGCTGATAGTTCTTTGTAAGCCTAATGCCCTTAATTGATGTTGTTGTTATTAAATGGTTTTGTTTAGTTTATTTAGTTGATTGGGTGCATAATTGAGTTTGTTCTTTTGAAAAAGTTTACTATGTATTGAAAAATGGATTTATTTTCTTTATTTTATAACAAGAAAAAAAGCTACGTTCGTTCGGCATGTAATTGGCTTATATGATATTAAACTCAAATTAATGACTATGTATTTTATGTAGTCATATTGTTATGCATATAAATATTTTTATGTAGTCTCATTTGAATTATTAGACATATCTTTACAATTTTGGGTAAATTTTATATGGCATTAATAATAACCTTAATTTTGTCTTCAATTCATTAGCTTATTTTGTGTATTGCTTTCATGATAGTTGCATGATGCAAATGAAACTGGAAATGGTGGATCCTTGGACAATCCCAAATGCAAATTTTTGAATTTGGATGGAACAAAGGTGGTGGTTGGGGAAGGCACAATTACATCAACAGATTCTAAAGCATTGGTACATCACATTCCTCTTGGCCCTGGGTGTTGGAAAGTATAGGTTAACCATGTATGATATAGTTTTGGATGGTTTATAACTTTTTGGACAATTTAGAACTTAAGGATGGTCCTTTTGGATGGTTTTGAACTTACAGTTAGTTTTTGGATGCTTGGAATGTATATATTGACAATTTTTTAATGTTCATAATTTATGTATATAGTTTATTTTTTATGCTTGAAACAATATTTTGGTGGTTGATTGATATTTTGTGAAGTTTATTTGTAATGTTTGTTAGATTGTACAAAACATGTCAAAATTGAATCTGCTAAATAAAAAATAATAATAATGAACATTCTACGGCAAACAAATTAGGCCATTATATGACATATTCCACAGCATTCTAAGAACGCCGTGGTATGTTCTACTTATCTATTGCAGGTTGAGCACGTCGTTGTATTACACATTCTATGGAGCTCAATTACTGTTGTTATTTGTCCCACCAATTAACAGCGTGCAAAAGTAGTCGTAGAAAAAATAAAAAAGATGCACAAAATTTGCTGTTAAATAGTTTTTAACATCATACTATAGCATGCCGTTGAAAGTGAATGACTTTTCATGACTGGTCATAATATGAGGTTACTTTGCATGTCGTTGCATGACGTAAAAACCCTTTTTTGTTGTAGTGATTATCTCTTTCCCATTGAACTATTCCAGTGATTACATCATTGTTTGTTTACCTCTATCAGCAAAATGATAATAGTTCAAAAGACAAGAGATAATGTAAAGGAAGAGCCAAAAAGGGCAAACATCTTTTCAAGGAGTGACCTTGAATACACAAAAATAGAAGTCTAAATACCCAACACGACCCAAAAACCTATGAATCACAAAGGCGTTCTTAGGTTGTTCCTAATTCTGCACTGCCTTGATTTTTGAAGAATCTATAGTAACCCCTTCCTCGGAGAAAACATGACCTAAAAACTTCACTTCAGAAAGCCAAAAATCACATTTCTCATACTTAGCATACAACTAGTGTTCCCTAAGCAGTTGTAAGCCAATGCGGAGATGCTCTTCATGCTCTTCCTCAGAAGGTGAATATATAAGAATATCATCCACAAACACCACCATAAATTTGTCGAGATAATCTCCGAAGACTCGATTCATTAAGTCCATGAAAGTGGTAGGGGCATTGGTCAAACCAAACGGCATCACAAGGAATTCATAATGACCATATCGAGTATGAAAGGCCGTCTTCAGAATATCTTCCTCTTCCATACGCAATTGATGATAACCCGATCTTAGATCTATCTTTAAGAAACATCGGGAACCTTTAAGTTGATTGAAAAGATCATCTATCCTAGGCAACGGATACTTATTTTTAACCGTGATCCTATTCAGCTTACGGTAGTCGATGCATAATCGTAATAGACCATCCTTCTTGGCAAAAAGAGTCGGTGCTCCCCAAGGCAAGGTACTAGGGCGTATGAAACCCTTGTCTAATAACTATTGCAATTACTCCTTCAAAACAAGAAACTTTGTTGGTGCAAATCTATAAGGTGACATGGAGATGGGTGTCATGCCAGGTACCAAATCTATAGAAAACTCAACCATGCGGTGTGGTGGCAATTTGGTGAGATGACATCTGAATATTCACAAACCACTCTAGGAAATACCCCTCAAACAACACCACTTCCATCATCTACAATGGTTGCAAGAAGAAAACTAAGTTTGCCTCGACTTCTCGGGTCATACAACAGCGACAACCCACCACCGACCCTATCCTCTAGAGAATAAAAATAGTCCCTACCTATTGTACACACAGCAACTCTTCCACGGTAGTAATCTATGGTGGCACGATAGGAAGACAACCAGCCCATACCAAGGATGATGTCAAAACTCAACATATCTAATAATACAAGATTGAAAGGAAGTTGGTGATTAGTGACGTCAATCACACATCCCCGACACCCCCGATTTAAGACAACATGACCCCCAATTGGTGACTCTACCATAAGTGAAGACTCTAGTCGTTCAATCTTTAAGCCCAACATGGATGCAAATGCAGATGCTATGAATGATTGTGATGATTTGGTATCTATTAATACATTAGACAAGGTATTATAAATAAGATATGTACCTCTCAACACCGATCGTACAGAAGATTGCTCAGAAGCAGTAGCAGTATAAACTAGCCCTTGTGGTCTCTGCTCATTCCGATCACCCCTCAGAATGTAGGCTCGTTGCACTGACTGTGTAGAAGTGGCCCCTTGCACCGCCCTAGATGCATGCCCAAACTGGACTGGTTGATAATTATGTCTCTAACCCTGGCTTGCCTGATAACCCCTAGACTGTCGGGGCCCTAAAGGGCTCCCAATCTTGACTAACTATGGACAAGACCTCTTCATTTGCCTCGATTGTCCACAATGATAACATACAGGCAATTGACCCCTTTATTGGGATTGGCTCTAAGAGAGCTAACTGCTGATGGTTAAGATTTTGCTTACACTCCGATGCCTTGTGACCTTGTTGGCCACATCTAAAACAAGTAATATGGCTAGGACCTGTATTTTTTGAACTCTTCATAGAAACAAACCCTGAAGACTTGGTCTGTTGAGGTAAGGACTGAAAGGAAGAAGAAAAAGAACCCTTGGACTTCTTATAGGATCCCGTGTCACTCCAAGATTCCATATAACCTGACCTCTTATGTTTCAACCTAGACTTCTCAGCTTCTAACATGATGATGTCTACATGAGCCGCAACCTCAACCAACCTATCATACTCTCTGAACATATTGCCCATTACTTTCATCAAGATCTTGGGTCTCAATCTCTTTTCAAACTCCTGAGCATCGATGCTCCTTGGACGTGTAGACTTCCCTGAACGCCCCGGGAGGAACGAGCTCCCGTTCTGTTCATTTTGGGGTCACTACAGCTCAGGACTCTCAAATTTGTCACGGTTCTAAGTCTGAACCAAAGAGTCCAAATCCGGCAAATCGTTTTGAGAAAACAGATTTTTGAAAGAAGTGCCAAACATGGACTGCTTTGCCAGATACAGAGTCGCCACCTAAATATTTTAACTGCCTTGGCTTTCTGATCTTTTCCTGGTGCAGGGTTGGGAGCGGAAAGGCCACGTGTCCGTCATCACCAAAGTTGCCTCGGCTCGGAACTTGGGTACGATTAGGGAAGGTCACTTCGTGAGCACCCCCGCTCGCCCGATCAAAGATCGGCCTCTACTAACCATGATATCTATTTTTGAAAACATTGCGAGTTTCTATTCCGGTTATTAGCCTAGGTTACTATGTGATGCACACAGCATACAAGTATAAAACTGGGTCGCCTGAATTGGAACAAAACATTTCATGTTTGTTTTGGAAGTGTTGCTACTGCAAGTGGCAAACTCATTTTTTAGCCACCCTCGGGTGGGCTTAGAAAGATGGTTTTGCCACTATTATGCTTAAAACAAATAATTTGATTGTGTCCAATTCAGGCGACCCAGTCTATACTTGATGCTGTGTGCATCACATAGTAACCTAGGCTAATAACCGGAATAAGAACTCGCAATGTTTTCAAAAATAGATATCATGGTTAGTAGAGGCCGATCTTTGATCGGGCGAGCGGGGTGCTCACGAAGTGACCTTCCCTAATCGTACCCAAGTTCCCGAGCCGAGGCAACTTTGGTGATGACGGACACGTGGCTTTTGGCACCGAGTCAGGGTTTCCTAAATTTCCCAAAATAAAATATTTAGGTGGCGACTCTGTATCTGGCAAAGCAGTCCATGTTTTACACTTCTTTCAAAAATCTGTTTTCTCAAAACGATTTGCCGGATTTGGACTCTTTGGTTCAGACTTAGAACCGTGACAAATTTGAGAGTCCTGAGCTGTAGTGACCCCAAAATGAATAGAACGGGAGCTCGTTCCTCCAGGGGCGTTCGGGGACGTCTACAGTTTCTGCGTCCTTGCTGGGGATTTATGAGAACTTGGACTCGAATTCATGATATCTGTTTTTGATACACTTGTGTGTTTTCTTTGCATTGCATTTGCATTGGTGCGCCTAGGACCCGTGTTTGCCATCTGCTATTCCTGAACGCTTGCCGGAGGCTTGTCTTGTCAAGGCATTGACCATAAGGCTGACCGGTTGTGGGCTCTGCAGTATGGAACACAAACCCCGGTTTTACCGGGGCACCCTCTTTGACCATTCGACCTAGTGCATATTCGGATCCATAGTGACCATTCCAAACTAGGACAGGTTGCTTACCCGTTTATAGGTTGTTTGAAACCGCTGCGTGCATAGTGAAACCCTAGCTCCTGACAAAAATAGGACAGGGAAACCCTACCCCACCATAAGGGTGTTTTAGCTCTCACTTGCTTGCTATGTGCTTTTAGGGTATGTCCCTACAAGAATGCATGTATCAGTTTGCAAGTTTGGGCATCAGGCCTGCGGGCACCAGTTCAGTATTTGGAGTCAGCTTTACCTGTAGGTATCAGACTTAGATTTGAGCCGAATTTGGGCAGAATTCAGTAGAGGGCACACTCATTCAACTATGCTCGTATCTGTTCAGATGGAATCAGGCTAAGATGCTGTCTGTGTTTTCTCTTTTTGCTAGGTAGTCTGGGAACCATAGCTTCAGAAGGCTCCGATATCCCCCGAGGTTCATCGAACTTGAAAATCAATGATGTTTGATTTATGAAAGAAAAGGAAAAGATGTTAGGTTTGAAAAGATGAAGAAAATGTATCTCTTGATGATCGAGAGTGGAGTTGGATATGTTATTACGTCCCATTTTGAAAATTATGAGATGTGTAATCTAATTGTTGAAAAAATTATTTGTTGAGTAGAAATATCTGTTTTGGGCTATCGGTGGAGAAAGCTTTGATTGTTGTAGAAATTCCATGAGGATTAGGTGATTGAAACTAAATTACTTTATATTTTGCATTGAGCATTGTTTCATACTTAAACATTGAAAATGTATTCTTTTAAGAAAAAATGGGTATACCTCGGTGAATCTAGTTAGGAGGTGTGGTTGGTGGTTTATTATGTTGGCATGTGTTGTCCTTGGTGAAAGCTCTAGAAACTTGCGCGGTTAGGTGCCTATCCTTCTGGTTAGTATCAGTAAAATGGCTTTAGTAGTGCTTGTATAGCCTACTTGTAGACATACCTAGAGATTTCCCAGTGTTTTGTATCCACTGCCTTGTTTTCTGATATAAAAGTATATTTTCATGAATTGATATATAAATTGGCATTGCATTATTTTGAGTTGGGAAAGGTATAACGTTTGGAAAATGGCATGGATATGCATTCACCTTATGACTTCATTAAGCTTTATACATTGTGTTAAAGTATCTTTAGTGGGCTTCAGCTCACCTTACGTGGAAATAACTTTCTGGTACTAGTGATATATCTCCACCAAGGACATAGCTGAGAGGACTTGGAGCGGAGAGCTTCTTTTTGTTCCATTTGTGTAATTATTTTTGTACAAGCCTTGAACCTTTATTTATATTGAATTTAGCTCACTTTTGTTGTACCAAGCATTGATTTGGAAAGATGTAGCCATTAGGGCCCAAACTTATCTGTACGTCTTTTGTTTAGATTCATTTACAATTGGCATATGCTATAGATTCAAGACTAAGATTCAT